AAGTTTTTATGTACATGCATATTTTCATTTCTTACCTAGGAATAGAATCTCAAGTTATATGGAAACTATGTTTGGTCATTTGAGGAATTTCTAGAAAAACAACTTTTCTAGTTCTTAATTCCTTCATTTGTAAAGTGGAGAGGGTAATGGTGTCTACTTCATAGAGGGTTGTTTTTTGTTTTTGTGGGGATTCAGTTAGAAAATGAATATATGGTTCTAGCTCAGTACCTGCAAATGGAGACTGAGTAATGAAGGCTATTCTTATTATCATCTGGTCTGAACTCTTCCACTTGCATGCTGGGTCCATCTCACTCTTGGGGCCTGAATTCCTTGTTTGTCAAGCAGGAAGACTAATATTCAGTGATGAATACAGAATGACTTGGAAAAGGAAGGTGTAGAGGGGCTGAGTTGTTGCTCCCAGCAGGGTCCACTTTCTCTTCCTTTTCGACCCCTCCTGCTTCACCCTTTTTCCTGGTGCTGATTAGTGGGTTCTTGGCATCCAAGGGGCCCGGCTCCAAGTTCCAGCCCTGCTTCATCAGGACCTCTGGAATCCGATCCTTGATGTCCTTACAGATTCTAAGAAGATGCCTGGGGGCAGGAAGAGAAGATGTCATGCCCAGGGACTCCAAGTAAGGGTTTGTTCAAGATGCTCCATGCTCCCAAGTGAGCTTCAGTTTGGGATGATCAGAAGTTAGACCTCCAAATGGATTGTGTAGGTAGTGCATTTTGGGAAGGTATGGGGCATGCTTTCACCTCTCAATAGTTATTGGAGTCATTCTTAACTGCTGTTTCTGTCAAGGCTTATTTTACATATACTGTTATATGTGCTCACACTTCTATGAGTATCCTCAGATTTTGATATATAAGATAAAAAAAGCTGCTTACTGAAATTTGTAGCAGAGATCTGTAGAGAGGCTGTTGGTTTTATGAACTGTAACACCACTCTTTTTTCCCCTTTTCAAGAAAGCTTGTAGGAAAGGAAATAAGGAGTGTCACATTCTAGGGGTAGTGTGTCACCCAGAGAGGAGGTCCATTCTGCCCATCTTGGCCTTCATGGAGCTCCTGCCACCTTGCCTTCCTCAGCATCTGTTGGTCTGGATTTTGACACATCTCCTTCAGGCCAGTCATTCCTCTCTCCGACTAGACCAGCAGCAATGTGTCGTGGAGGGAGCTAGACTTCTGAGTCAGGTAGCCCTGGGTGCAAATCCTCTCCGCACCAGTCGCTGTCAAACCTTCAACAAGTCCCTCAGCCCTGCTAAACCTCAGTGTCCTCATCTTTAAATGGGAATAACTCCTCTCTCAGAGCATTAGAGTACAAGGATTTACCACATACGTTTTGTGCACAGACTCTCCAGGTGCTTTTCATACATAATCTCTAATCCCTTCACCCACGATAGCACCCACAAGGGTGCTACCCTTGTTGTCCAACTGAGGCTTAGAGTGTTCAGTGGCTAATGTAGTAGCAGTGGTCTATGCCCTGTCATCCCTTTGGGCCTTACCTTGACTTCTGCCTTATGGCCGCCAGCATCAACACCTCTTTCCTATGCTTGGGGAACCCAGCACAGTAAGGTTTGATGGAAGGCAGTGCCTCACCTCCCACCTCAAAAGCCAGAGCATTGTTGGTTGCTTGCTTTTCCTGACCCCCCACCTGGGGAGTGAACACTAGACTCAGCCAATTGGATGCTCCCATCTGGGACTTTGAATCTGGGGGAAATGACACAAAGAAGCAGTGAATAGTTGAGAACTCATTCTGACAGCAGCAGGAGCATCCTGTGGCTGGTCTTGGTGATGGTTGTTGTGCTCCATGGCCACAGCTCCAGTGATCAGGTTGCTCAAGTGGCAGGAGCTTGGAGCTCGGCTGTGGCTCAGGGCACCTGGGCTCCTTTGGCATCTGCCTACTCTCTTTCCTGTCAATTTTGTGAGATTCTTGATATTCTTCCTCAAGTTCCTCTTCAACTTAAGTCACTCAGACTCAGTTTCTGTTGTTTGTAATCAAGAACTCTGCATAGCAGCTATGTGTCCCCAACGACAGTCCTCTGGTATTTCTGAACCTTTTCATTTTCTGCCTAATACTCCCATCTGAATGCTGGGAGTCATTTGCCTCTGCTTTGTGCCAGTCTCAGTCTGTTGGTATTGGCTAGAAATGCCAGGGGGCACTCACCTGGCCCTGGTGAGCTTCCTGCAGACATCTTCCCTTTCCAAACCAATGTTGTGACTGGATTGACCCTTGTGGTTCTTAGGATTATAAGGCACCTTTCAGTAATAACCATCAGGAAACTTTGAATAAATAAAGATTTATTATTTACAAGACCTGGAAATTACACCGCACACCTGAGGCTACACAGGGAAGTTGCAGGTAAAGGGAACACATGGGCCTGTGGTTCTGTTTTTACTGGGGTCGAGGGTGGGGGACCTAGGGTTTTATAGGCATGCTCTTTTTTTTGGTGAATTTAAAACATGAGAGCAGGAATTTAAAGCTCAGGAAGAGAAAAGACAAGTGGCCCAAATGGTCAGTTATCAAACTCAGCCAAGATCTCTAAAACAAAGGAGGTGGTCTGGTTCTTTATGTAGTGTGGCTGTCTGCAGCATCCTTTACCCAACCCTGGGGTCTGGAGGTGTTGCTGTTAGCGGTGTATGTCTGTTGTTTTTATCTGCCCCAAATACTCTTCTTAAGGGGTGGTCCTTTCTCCCCTTCCTCTGGTGGCTGGGGCTGCCAGTCACAAGACCTGCTTTCTATTCCAAGGGGTGGGCCCCTGATCCATCAGGTGGATGGCGAGTGTGAAAATTTAAAAAAAAAATGCATTGGGAGAGAAGAGCTCTTTCTTTCCCCTTGGATGACAACCTGTGAAGATATAACCTTGGAGTTGCTTCTGACTGTGTTCCTTGCCAGAAGAAGGAAGGAAGCTGTATTAGTTTCCTAGGGCTGCCATAACAAATCACTACACAGTTAGATGGCTCAAACCAGCAAAAATGTATTTTCTCGCAGTACTCAAAGAAGTTCAAAATCAAGGTGTCACCAGGGTTGATTCCTTCTGGGGGTTCTGAGGAAGAATCTGTTCCATGCCTCTCTCCTGGCTTTTGGAGGTGTCTGGCAATCATTTGCATTCCCTGGTTTGTAATGTATCACTCCCACCTGCCTCTGTCCTCACGTGGCTGTCTTCTGTGTATGTCTCTGTCCAAATTTCGCTCTTCTTCTCAGGATACCAGTTATTGGATTAGGGTCCACCCTACTGCAGTATGACCTCATCTTAACTTGATTAATAAATCTGCTAAGACCCTATTTCCAAATAAGGTCACATTCACAGGTTTGGGGGTGGAAATGAATTTTGGGGGACATTATTTAACTCAATACAGAAGCTAAGTTAGCTAAGGGTCAAGAGGTGGAAAGAGAGAGACCTTTAATGACAATTTATTAATTCCTAAACCCAATCAGCCTGGATGAAGTGAACTTTACCCCAGACTTTCCAGATATGTGAGCTAAAACATTTCATTTCCTTTAAGCTAGTCTGAGTTTGGTTTCCAGCACTTATAACTGAAAAAGTCCTGACTAATATAGAGGTGAGTGAAAAACCGGAATAAAGCCAGCTGGGATTTTAACAAGAGACCAAAATGCAGTAAGAAAATGTGAGTTTCCTTTCTCTATTCCTTTCCTTCTATGCAATATGCCAGTCTCAAGACATAAGACTCCCTGCATCATGCTGGTTTTCAGAGTCTTCCAGGGTCACCCTGGTAAGAATGTTCTCCAGGGAAAGAGTTTACCCCTTTATTTACTTCTTTCTTTTGCATGACTGGACCCAAATACCCAAGAAATTGGGATAAAAAACGAGCTGTATTTGGGAGCTGATCATTGGAGGTATGGGGACACAGGTAGGGTTGGGGGTTTGATTCAATTGAATAATGCTGCTTATTCTTTGTACCTGGCACTCAACACATTGCCTGACACATGGTAGATGCAAAATGAATATTTATTGAGAGGGTGAGGGAAATAGCATATACTGTTTATGGGGGAAAATTAACCGAAGCATACATGATATCCCAGCCCTTGGGTCTCTCAGTGTAGATGGGCAGATAATATGCCCTCACAAAGTAATTACATAATAACATAAGAAGATCCACAGTCCAAACATTTGGGACTCTAGGGAGGAAGGGTGGAGGTTTAAGAGAGAGAGAAAGATCCCTGGGGTTTGGGTGCGGCTGTTAAGAGAGGATTCGGGGAGGAGGAATAAGTTAGTTGGGTCTGGAAGGACAGGGCTCTTCTGCTAAAGAAGAGCCGAGTGGAAGTATGGAGAATGGAACTTTGTGTCCTCCCTGGGGGATGTGTAGGATGGACAGGCAGAGGTGTGTATGTGGGGGGGTCTCGGTGGTGACGGGGAGGTAAGAGTGAAAAGGAAAAGTCTATGGGCCAGGAGGTGTCTCTAGGAAGCCAAGATCCTGCTCTTGCAAGCTCAAAAAGAACAGAGAAGAACCCTTATCTCTCCCATCCATCTAGATTTCATGTTGGGCCAAGATGTGAGGCTTCCAGCTCAGGCACGCAATGATGGGGTTTATGTGCTCTGTGGGTTTGTGTGTGGCCAATCTGTGGTTTAACATTGCTATGGTTTGGGGTTTGTCTGTTCCTTTAGAAGTTTTTGGTTGTATATGACAGAAATTAGGGCACTGTTGGAGCCTTTCTCTTTTGCTTTTTAGGATTACACAGCAGGAGACAATCTAAGCTAAGGGCTGATTCTAGTGCTCACCATCCTTGATTTGTTCCTACCCTCCATCTATGTTGACTCCGTTGCTTCCCTCCTCAAGGCCTGGCAGGGGAGAGAAGCAGGAAAGGGAGTGATTCTTTGTGGACTTGACAGCTGATTCTTCCGCATTTTTGGATTCTTGCTTATGGACCAGAGGGACTAACGGTGACCTCTCTCCAACTCCCACCTCCCAGCCCTTTTCCTGCCAGATTCCCTCATGGGCTTCTCTCTAGGTTAGAAATGGTTCTGGGTGTGAGTGGAGGTCTCCTACTCTCCCGTGGCCTCCTCATCCACAGCAGCCTGGATATTCCTGGCCGCTTGCAGGCCGGAATTGATAGCAGTGTCTATCCACCCATGGGGCAGGCTGGTGTGCTCGCCTGCAAAGTGGATGCGGCCCTCAGGCTTGAAAAGCTCCTGTGAATAGTCGATAAACTGGTAGGGTGTGAACTCAGTGAAGGCCGCCCATGGTGGAGGGGTCCAGAGACCAGCGCTTAGCCACGGAGGAGGGGCATATGCGCGGCAGCTCGTCCTTGGCTATCTGGTACACAGCCGCCAGGTCCTCCAGGACCACATCCTCCATCTGCTCGTGTGTCATGGATGTGAAGAAGAGGGAGTCATCGTCCACGGTGTAATAGGCCAGCAGGATGCTCTTGCCGCTGGGGAAGCTGTGGCTGGGGTAGTAGATGTAGCGCGAGGGCCTGTCGGTGACAGAGACCCCACCCCGGATGCCATCCCGCTCCCAGAAGGGCTCCTCACAGGCCAGGATCACCTTGGTGGCACTGGTGTAATGCACCAAGCGGAGTGCTTCCGTCTTGTCTGGGGAGAGCGGTGGCTTAAAGGTGATGAGGCGCGTGGCCTTGGCTGAGGCCGTGATGATGACAAAGTCCGCGGTGAGCGTGTTCAGTGCCCACCTGGACTTGCCCACCTGGTAGGAGACCCGGACCTCAGGCCCATCCCTCACTACCGTCTCCACGTTGGAGCCCAGGTGGATGGTGCCAGGCTTCAGGCTAGCGCTGAGGGCTTTGGGGAGCTGGTCGAAGCCACCGGTGACCTCAGAAAAGCTGCAGGGGTGAGGGGAGGGCAGAGGGGGTGTGTGGGGGCACTGGGCCCCTTTGCTGAGTTGCTGACAGCCTTCCTGGTCTGAAAAGCAAGGAAACTAGCTTCCTGCAGCCTGTGCTGGATGCTTCATAGACATCTCCTTAACTAGTCTCTGTGAGAGAGGGATCGTTGTTTAATTTTATACTTTGGAAAACTGTTACCTGGTGGAGAGGGACTGTCCCAGGATGACATCCACAGTCTAGACCTACAGCCCGTGGATTCAGCTACCATACAGTCCTGTGTCCCGGGATGAGTCCCACAGACCTGGGTTTGGATTCTGGCTCCAGTTTTTACCCATTATGTGACCTTGGGTAAATTATAGAATTCCTCTGAGCCTCAGCATCCTTACCTGTAAAATGGCTCTGCATAATAGTACCAACCTTCTAGGTGATTTACTGGGACAATTTTTTGGAAAGTGCTTATCACTGTGAGTGGCACATAGTGACTACCCAGTAATCATAGTTCCATTTCTCTGCTCTGAGAGGTGGAGCAGGGGCAGATTCCATCCCTGGTCCCAGTTGGCCTTACTTGTTACTTTTGGAGAAGATGAAGCTACTCCACAGGGACTCTAGGAAGGACTTATAGTATCCAGAATCCTCATTCATCACAGTCCCGATCATCTTTACTGCTCCTTCACTCAGCTCCCCTTCCTTCACCAAGTAAGCCTGTGGGGAGGTAGAAGTTCCGGATGGAGGGCCCCGCATGTAGGAAGGGGCTTCAGCAGGGGCCTAGGGCAGGCAAGGGGCAAGACTGGACTCCAAGAAAGTGAAGACTTTGGTAGTGGGAAGAGAAGGTCCTTGTCATCAGGGGACAACCCCAGGGGGCTGGGCTGAGCACAGACCCCCTCCACCCCTATCCTGGGACTTCTGTGCCTCACATACCTTGGTGGAGTAAGAATCATAAAAGGACAACAGGTGGCCGCAGTTGAAATTGTTCAGATTTTCTTTGAGCTGCAAAAGGGGAGAAAGGGGAAGCAGCTTAGATTAAAGCCACAGAGCTAGTGGCAGGACTCCTGCCTTCTCTGGATGTCCCTTAAAGAGGGGAGGAACAAGGAGGTGGGGAGTGGAAAGACCAGGGGAAGGATGCTTCCAAGATCTCCTAAATGTTCCTTTTTCCTCCTAAGTCCCCCTTTCATTGAAGGACCTTTGGAGACTGAAATTTAAGGGGAAGACATTCACTGCAATCCAGGAAGATTGATTCACTACTGAGGATTGGGTTATCTGGTGATTCCCCTTCCTTCCACTGTCACCATCAAGCAGTAAGCCACTGGACCACCAGGGACAGGGAAATAGATGGGGTTGGGCACTAGGGACAGGGTGGCAGCATTCTTAGGGGAGATTAGAGAAGAGACCAATCACAAGAGTGCTGGATGGGAACCAGGCCACTTGGGTCTATCCACTAACTTGCCAGGTGACCTGGGGCCAGAATTTGTTCTTTCCCAACCCTGGGAGGGGTGAGGCAGTAGGCACCTTGGCAATGGACTGGTAGAAGAGATTCATAGGGCTTTTGCCCCTTTCCGTTGGGCTCATGGAATAGCCCAGGACCTCTGGATTGTCCTGGACCTCCCTGGTGCGATAGCGTTGTCCTTTGATGAGGTACCAGGTGTTGCCATCATATGCTATGAACTTGTTCAGCTTCAGGCCAAGCTTCTTGACGTAGGTATGAACCAGCCTGGAGCAGATACAGGTGTAACATGGCACCTCTCCCAGTGGCACCTCGTTCCTGCTGGCCTCACTATAGAGGCCATTTCCAGGGAAACCAGTTTTTTCATGTGCCCAGGGAACTTGGACTGTTTCTTCAACTCTAACCCTGCTTCTTCATGTTGTGGTATTAATTCTTTTCCTTCTGTTTTTGCCCCAAGGAAGATCATGAGGACAGAGTTCACCCATCACCCAAGGAAAGCCCTGTAAGAAATCCCTGAGTACAGGACTTTACGTAGAGACCAAGGCCTTTAGTTTCAGACAGTATTTGAAATCCCATCTTCCATTTCTAAGGAAGGTGAGGCCAAATCTAAAGACTCCTACTTTGGGCTGGTTCCTTTTGTTTTTGCTTTTGTTTTTGGTGGTGTTTGGAGGGAAGCCTTGGGTTCAGTTTACACTTAAGGCAAAAAAGTAATCATATTTTTGGAGGTATGTGGGACACTGGGTGAAGGATCTCGTTTGTCTTAGAAGCCTCAGAACCAGGGGCTGGGTTCTGTTCCAGGAGCCAGTTAGAGCATAGCGGTCGAGTGTATGTTTTTGGGCCAGTTGCCTCGATTTTGAAGAGGAGCTCTGTCACTTTCTCCTAGGAGAACCTTGGGTGAGTCACTTAATATCTCTGAGCCCAGTTTTTTGATTTGTAACTGGGAAAAATAAGAGGATCAGATGAAATAATGCACATGTGGCTTTCAGCACAGCACTTGGCACGTAGAGGTGCTCAACAAATGTCAGCTGATAGGATTATTATTATTATTTTGTAGCCTAATGGGGTATAATTGACATATAAGAAGCTGGCCATATTTGAAGTACACAATTTGATGAATTAATGGTAACTATTATCATTAGTCTGGGACCTACCACTTTCTGTGTGACCCTGGGCTCTGAGCCTCGGTCTTCCCTGTCAAATGGGAGACCAGTGTTGGTCCCAACTTGCAGGATTGAACCACATGAGACAGTGGATCTGAGAAACTCTGACACTATAGCAGCAGGGGCCCCTGTGCTCCCCCCTCCCGACCACCTAATTCCTCTTGCTTGCCCTTTGCCCATTCTTTCCCTGGGACTTACCTGTGGGACTTTGGGATTTGCATGGGTCCCAGTTCATTGTACCAGCCCTCCTCCTCGTTCCTGAATGTGCTGACTCGACCCCCGATGTGGTGGCTGGCTTCCAGGATGGTTACCTGGGGTCCAGAGGACCTGCTGTTGTCCTCAGCGTCATGCTTTCCCTTCTCCCATCCTGTACACCCATGTCCATCCTGCTACAGGCCGTAGTCTGGAATTCCCAGCAGTAGGTTCCCTGAATGTGCCGAATAACCAGATGGAGGCGGGGAGGGTCCTGAGTAATGTAAGAGGGGCAGAATGCTCCAGGGGGGACCGAGTGCCTCTTGGCCTTTTCTTGTTAGCACAACTCTTCTCCACTTTCCTTCCATGAGAACACAAGTGCAGCTAGGGTCAAGTCTTGGGGGAGCCTGGAGTTTTGAGGAACCATAACTAAGAGCTAAGAGACCCAGCCAGTTATGAGCAACCATCTAAGAGCTGGCTGTATCTTCTCTCTTTTTCTTTTCCCACCCAAAAAAGCAAACTGGAGGCAAAGGATTGAAACCCCTCCAAGATCTGCTCACCTGGTGGCTAGCGTGTTGGAGGGTCTTGGCTGCCGCCAGGCCTGACATACCAGCTCCCACTACTACCACGCGCTTGGGCAACGGGGAGATGTGGAGTCCCTCCTGTGCGGTGACAAGACTGGACTCATATTCGGGGTCCCGAAAGCACTTGGCCAGGTCCTCCAAGTAGCCGAGGCAGCTGGGGGTAGCCAGTAGGAGCCCCAGAATCAGGATTCCTGTGGCGGAGGAGGGAACTGGGGGCTGTCTTTCTGGAGCCCAGGCTCTACGTCCTGCCCTACCCAGGATGAGCTTGGCCGTGTGAACGAGCAGGGGTGGTGAGGTAAGGCAGTATCTGTCAAATGTGTGGTTGTAAACGTGTATTTCTGATTGTGTCTATGTGGGGGCGATTGAGTTATGTGGGGTACGGATGTATGTGTGAACTGTGCTGGTGTCAGTTGTGCGATGGTAAATGTGAATGCGTGTGTTCATGTGTGTGCCTGTGATTGGAAACTCATGAGTGTGTACAGGGTCATCTCTGACTGAATATGCCTGCTTCTGATGGTGAGTGTGTGTGTGTGTGTGTGTGTGTGTGTGTGTGAGCCTGTCTGTGATGTAAGTTGCAGTGATCATGAGTTTGTGATTGTTGCCCTGTAAGACTGTGCATCATCTGTGATTTCATGGGAGGGGGTGTATCTGTGGCATGGTGTGGGCCCCTGAGCAAATGTGTGGATGAATCTGTATGGGACAGCGAGGTGGGTGTGTGTGGCCTGGGTCCGAAGAGTGAGCGTGACATGCATGCATTTGCTGGAGTTTGAGAGGGAATGTGGTTGCCGGTGTTCTTGTGTGATTCTGTGAGTGTGTTTGAGCGTGAGGTTGGGTGGCAGAGCCAGAGGGTGTCTGTGTTCTTTGAGAATGTGTGCATTCGTGAGGGCATGGGTGTGTGAAAACAAGAGGCTTTGAGGCTCGCTTCTCTTCAGGGGGAGCTGTGATCAGTTTCTTAGTGGTATCACCAGTACCCCATGGGACCTTGGCAGGCCCACTGCTCTTCTCCAGCCTCACAGTATTCTTTCACATCCCTCCAGCTTTCCTCATGGGCAGCTAAGACGGGAAACTAGTTAATACGTAACACGCAATGAGTCCAGAGTGACGTGGTTTTCGTCTCCACAATGAACTGCTCTGATGCACAGAGAAATTCACCTGGGAGTCTGCAACAAGAGGCTGTGTGCCTTCCTGGGTGTCACTTGCTCAACGGGGAACAGCCAGGAGCTGTGATGCACTGTACCCCCTTGCACCAGCCCTAGGATTTGGGGGTGGGTGAGAACCCCCTTAGTCCAGCCTTTATCCATGCCGGCCACCCGAGGCGCACTGAAGGAAAGGGATCTCCAGGGGCCACCCGCTGAAGAGGGGCAGAAGACCCAGCTGGCTCCCAGTGCAAGCCCTTCCAAATGCCGGGAGAGCCTTCTGCAGGGGTGACTCCTCAGGAAAGAAGAGAGGGTGACCATGCACTGTGGCAGAGATCCCCAACCCTCACCCCCTCTTCCCACCTTCCAGGCCTCAACCTCCCAAATCCATTCTTGCCCCTGACAAACTCTCCCATCTCCCTGAGCTACCACCATTCCTGTCTCAGGCCCCATGTCCTTCCCCTTGAATGGGCCCAACCCCCAGACTCATTATCCTGACCTGGACACATTCTCTTGACTCCCTTTCAACACCTGGACCTATGTGCAGCCCCTGATCTAGCCCTGTCCTGTCTCAGTCCCTGTGCTTTTCCTTTTGCATGGCCCTATGCCCAGACTGTTCCTCCAGCCCATCTCAACCCCCTCCCTCCATCTAGCTCCTTGCCCTGTTTCCTCCCTCAGGCGCCTCACTGTCAGACTTAGAGGAGGCACCCCACTTACCCCGCATCTTGGCCATGGCCTTGCAGCTCCTCCTGAGTCTGGGGCAGCTCTCCCCCTCCTTAGGAGGAGCCAGCTCCACCCCAGCAGTGGCTGGCTGCATCCCACAAGCCTGCCCCCAGGGCTGGGCCAAGCAGAGAAGCCCTGCCCTCCTGGTGAAAAGACCATTGGTGACTCAGATGATCCCTGGCCCATCTCCCTTCTGAGGGAAAACCCCTTCTCCCAGCTCAGTCCTCAGCCCCTGGGTACCAGTGGGGAGACGGGGTTGTGGGAGCCGTGGGTCATCCCAAACCTGCTGGAACCATCTCCCAGGAAATGGGTGAGGACTGGGGCTAAGTGTCTGGGCTGCTTTGGAAGGCCAGCATCCAGGATCCTGGCCCAGGTCAAAGTTCCCAACTGCTCCCACCAGAGAACGTCTAGTTCTACTGCTGTCTCACCATGAGCCTTCTGTTCTACTGTTAGTCTCCCCGAGATGGGGATTCTGGCCAGGAGCTCCCATGGAGGACTCTGTCGGTCCTGCCTTTTCAGGGGCTCCCTCAGCAGGCTGGGCAGACATCTCTGGCCTGGCCCATTTGCAGTGGGGGAGTGTTTTCTTTTCCCCCTCTTCCTCTGGGTCCTCTGGGGCTTCCATAGACACAGGCTGGCTTCTCTGGCACTGGAATTCCTTCTGGGGAATCAGGCCATCTGGCTGTGACACCAAGACTAGCTCTTTGTTCTCTCTGTATACAGTGCGGGTGGAGACAGGCTGGCTGGTGAGACAAGTGGACAGGAAGCACGCACCAATCTAGCAGCATGGGGCTGGGGAGGAGGGCAGGTAGGAGCACTTGGCGTCGGGGGCACAGGACTCAGATCCTGGTTACCAGGGGTGGCGTAGGGGAAAGGACACCAGCAATGGAGTCCAACAGAACTGGGTTCAAATCTTGCTTTATTACGTCAGTGCTGTGTGTCTTAGGGCATAAGGCTTATACCTCTCTGAGCCTGGATTTCTTTACCCGTAAAATGATGCTAGAACACTTTCTTTATAGGGTGCCTCAGGATTAAATGAGATAATGTATGCGACGAGCTTGGCATAGCACCTTGCACTCTATAGGCATCTAAACTGACTTCCTTTTTCTCTTTGGAGATAAGGTCTGATTTGATACCGGATCACACACAATAATAATATTTAATATTATTTATATTATTAAATATATTTATTATTATATTATAAATATAATTTGTATATAAATATATTATATTACAAATATAAATACATATTAAATATATTATATTTATTATAATATTATAAATAATTATGTTATAATAGTATAATATATTATTATATTTATATTAATATATTGATAAAATTAAATAATATTTAATAATAATAATTTCAAAGGGAGGTAATTTCTCCACCACAAGGTGGCTGGAAGAACCAAAGAAAATAACACATGGGGGTTACAGTGTGAATAGCTGGGTTTTGGGCACAGAGCAAGGACTCTTTCTCTCTACTTCCTTTTATTTTTTGTAATAGCTTTATTGAGATATAATTCACAGACCTTACATTTCTTCCATTGAAAGTGAGTAATTCAGTGGTTTTTAGTGTCTTTACAGAGTTGTGCTACTATCACCATGATCAATTTTTTTAAAGATTTTATTTATTTATTAGACAGAGAGATAGAGAGAGAGAGCACAAGTAAGCAGAGTGGCAGTCAGAGGGAGAGGGAGAAGCGGTTCCCCCACCATGATCAATTTTAAAACATTTTCATTATTCCAAAAAGAAATACGGTACCTGTTAACGATTACTGGCCATTCTCCTTGTCCTCCCAGCCCTAGGCAACTACTATTTGGCTTTTTGTCTCTGTGGATTTGCCTGTTGTGGACATTTCCTATGAATGGCATCATACAATATATAGTATTTTGTGACTGGCTCCTTTTGCTTGTATAATGTATTCAAGATTTACTCTTGTAACATGCATCAGTACTTCATTCCTTTTTATGACCAAATAATATTCCATTTATGACTGAATAATATTTCATTTATACCATATTCGTTGATCCATTTATCACTTAATAGCCACTTGGGTTTTTCCCATTTTTTGGCTACTATAAACAATGCTGCTCTAAACATTCTTTTGTAAGATTTTATGTGGACACAATAGCCAAACTGTGGAAAGAGCCAAGATGTCCATCGACAGAGGAATGGATAAAAAAGATGTGGTATATATACACAATGGAATATTATGCAGCCATCAAAAGGAATGAGATCTTGCCATATGCAACGACGTGGATGGAATGTGGGTGTTATGCTGAGTGAAATAAGTCAATCAGAGAAAGACGTGTATCATATGACCTCACTGATATGAGGAATTCTTAATCTCAGGAAACAAACTGAAGGTTGCTGGAGTGGTGGGGGGTTGGGAGGGATGGGGCGGCTGGGTGATAGACATTGGGGAGGGTATGTGCTATGGTGAGCACTGTGAATTGTGCAAGACTGTTGAATCACAGATCTGTACCTCTGAAACAAATGTAATATATGTTAAGAAAAAAAAAAGAAGAAGAAGAAGATAGCAGGAGGGGAAGAATGAAGGGGAGTAAATTGGACAGGGAGACGAACCATGAGAGACGATGGGCTCTGAAAAACAAACTGAGGGTTCTAGAGGGGAGGGGGGGTGGGGGGATGGGTTAGCCTGGTGATGGGTATTAAAGAGGGCACGTTCTGCGTGGAGCACTGGGTGTTATGCACAAACAATGAATCATGGAACACTACATCAAAAACTAATGACGTAATTTATGGTGATTAACATAACAATAAAAAAGAAAGAAAATTAAGATTTTATGTGGACATAGAGTTTCATTTCTCTTAAGTATATATTTTGGAATGGAATTACTGGGTTGCATGTTAACTCTATGTTTAACCTTTTGAGGAATTGCCAGACTGGTTTACAAAGAGGCTGCACCATTTTATTTTCCCACTAGCAACAAATGAGAGCTCCAGTTTCTCCTCATCTTTGACAACGCTTGTTACTATCTGTTTTTGATTATAGCCATCCCAGTGGGTGTGAAGTGGTATCTCATTGTGTCTTTTTATTTGTATTTCCTTTATGACTAATGATGTTAAACAGCTTTTCATGTGCATAATGAACATTCATATATCTTCTTTGGAGAAATGTGTATTCAGATCCTTTGCTTATTTTTACATTTGGTTATTTGTCTCTTTATTATTGGGTTGTAAGAATTCTTTATAAACTGCAGATATAAATCTCTTGCCAGATATATGCACATATATTAGTAAATATTTTCTCCCATTCTATAGGTTTTCTCTCTCCCATTCTATTGCTTTTTTTTTAAAGATTTTATTTATTTATTTGAGAGAGAGAGAGAGAGAGCAAAAGCACGAGTGGGGGGAGTGTGTCCCGTGTGAATGCTCACCAAAGGGTGCCCTCAGCAGAAGAGGATTTTAATAATCAAGTGGATAGAATGATCTGTTCTGTGGATACCATCTGTTCTGTGGATACCAGTCAGCCTCTTTCCCCAACTACCACTATCACAAATGCAGACTCCCCACTGAGCACAGAGCCCAACATGGGCCTCGATCCCAGGACTCTAGGCTCGTGACCTGAGCTGAAAGCAGATGCTGAACCAACTGAGCCACCCAGGTGCCCCAGGTTTTCACTTTCTTTTTTTTTTTTTAAAGATTATTTATTTATTTATTTGAGAGAGAGAGCATGAGACGGGGGAGGGTCAGAGGGAGAAGCAGACTCCCTACTGAGCAGGGAGCCCAATGTGGGACTCGATCCCGGGACTCCAGGATCATGACCTGAGCCAAAGGCAGTCGCTTAACCAACTGAGCCACCCAGGCGCCCAGGTTTTCACTTTCTTGATGATGGCTTTTGAAGCATGGAATTTTGAAATTTTGATGAGGCTCACATTATCTATTTTTCCTTTTATTGCTTGTGCTTTGAGTATCATATCTAAAATCCTATTGTCAAATCCAAGGTTATGAATAAATATTCATAACCCTATGTTTTCTCCTAATGGCTTTTTATTTTTTAATTTTTACATTTTTTAAAAAAAGTATTTATTTGAGAGAGAGAGCGCAAGCACAAGCACGGGGAGAGGGACAAGCAGACTCCCCACTGAGCACAGAGCCCAACATGGGCCTCGATCCCAGGACTCTGAGAGCGTACAGGAGCAGGGGCAGAGGGAGAGGGAGAAGCAGACTCTCCTGCTGGGCAAGGAACACGATGCGGGGCTCGATCCCAGGACTCTGGGATCATGACCCGAGCTGAAGGCAGATGCTTAACCAGCTGAGCCACCCAGGCACCCCTCTTAATGGCTTTTAATTTTAAACTCTTATATTTTGGTCATTGGTCCATTTTGAGTTAGTTTTTGTAGATGGGGTGAGGTACGGATCCAACTTCATTCTTTTGCATGAGAGTATCCAGTTGTCCCAGCACCATTTGTTGCTGGGAAAGACTAGTCTTTCCCCCACTGAGTGATTTTGACACTGTTGTCAAAAAGCAATTGAGCATGGACATGTGGTTTTATCTCTGGACTTTCATACTGTCTTGATGAACATTTTATAGTAAGTTTTTAAACTGGGAAGTGTGTCTTCCTACCTTGTTTTTCTTTTTCAATATTGTTTTCATTATTCCAAGTCCCTTGAATTTCCATATGAATTTTGTCAATTTCTACAAAGAAGTCAGCTGAGATTCTGGTAGGGATTTCACTGAACCCATAGATCAATTTGAAAAATATTGCCGTTTTAATAATATTGTCTTCTGATCCATAAATGCAGGGTGTTTTTCCATTTATTTAGATAATCTTTACTTACTTAACATTTTGCAGTTTTCAGAGTATGATTTTTGTACTTTTGTTTTTAAAGAACAGCTTCTTATTGAGGTGAAGTTCATACAACATGAAATTATTTTAGCGTGTACAATTCAGTGGCACATTCACTATGTATTCCTCACACATTCACAATATTGTACAAGTGCCACTTGTATTCAGTCCCAAACATTTCCATCACCCAAAAGGACAACCCTGTACCCATTAAGCAGCCACTCCTCATTCCTCCCTCCCTGCATTTCCTGACCTCCAGCAATTTTCTTTCTTTGTGTAAGGATTTATCGATTCTGGATATTTCATATAAATGGAATCATACTATATGTGACTTGTTGTGCTTGTCTTCTTTTACTTAACATAATGTTTTGGAGGTTAATCCACATGTAGCATGTATCCATACTTCATTACTTTTTATAGCTGAACAATATTCTGTTGTGTATATATACTATATTTCATTGATCTGTTCATCGTTTGATGGACATTTAGGTTGTTTCCGCCATTTGACTATTGTGGATAATGCTGTTATGTACATTTGTTTACAAGTATTTGAGCACTTATTTTCACTTATTTTGGCTTTTCTAGCAGTTCCCTAGGGCTGCCATAACAGATTAGTGCCAGAGAAACTTACTCTCTCACAGTTGTAGAGAGGCTAGAAATCCTCAATCACAATTGTTGCCTGGGCCGTGCTTTTTGGGTTCTTCCCTTTGTGCTCTAGGGAAGGATTCTTTCTTGCCTCCCCCAGCTTTTGGTGACTCCAGGTGTTCTTTTTTTTTTTTTTAAGATTTTATTTATTTATTTGAGAGAGAGAGAGAATGAGAGATAGAGAGCACAAGAGGGAAGAGGGTCAGAGGGAGAAGCAGACTCCCTGCCGAGCAGGGAGCCCGACGCGGGACTCGATCCCAGGACTCCAGGATCATGACCTGAGCCGAAGGCAGTCGCTTAACCAACTGAGCCACCCAGGCGCCCGACTCCAGGTGTTCTTATATTTGGGGCTGCCTACCTCCAATCTCTGCCTTCACATGGTCTTCTTCTTTTATGTCGGAGTGTCTCAAATCTCCCTTTGCCTTCTCTTATAAGGACACCATTGGATTTAGGTCCCACCCTAAACCAGGATGATCTCATCTCAAAATATTTCACTTAATTGCACCTGAATCAGACTGTTTTCCAGAATAAGGTCACATTCACAGTTTCCAGAAGTTAAGACTTGAACATATCTTTTGGGGAGCCACTTTTCAGCCCACTACAGTCCACCTTTGGCTGCCCCAAATTCATGTCTGTCTCACATGCCAAACATATTTAGCCCCAAATCCCTCAAAGTTTCGATACATGACAGTATCATCTTAATCCAAGATCTCATCTAAATATTGTCAGCTCAAGTGATTTTCTAAATCACCCAGATTAGGTATGGGGAAGACTCTGGGTATGAGCCATCCTGGGACAAAATTCCTTTCCATCCGTGGACATTGGAACCTGAAAAACAAGTTATATGCTTTCAGGATAAAATCATGGACAGACATAGAGTAAGCATCCCTTTCAAAGAAGTAGAATGTGGAAGAAATAAAGGTGTCACAGGTGCCAAGCAAGTGTGAGATCCAGTAGGGCAAATTCTATTAGGTTTCAAGGCTGAAGAAGAACCCTCTATGGCTTGATGCTCCGCCCTCCTACCTCACCGGCCTGCAGCTCTGCCCTCTGCTTCTGCTTTCCTCTCTGCCTCTGCCCTTGGAGTTGTTCTTTCTTTTCCTGAAGGGTAGCACATGTTTGAAGACAGCAAAGGAGTTCAGCAGAGAGAGGGGAGAACAGGTTCCATGACCGAGCCTAGGTGCACACCACCTTTAAGAGGTAGACTCTGCAAAAGAGATTGAGAAGGGGAACTGGAGAGGTAGGAGGGATACAGGAAGTGAGCTGTCCTGGCATCCACATGAAGGAAGTGTTTCAAGGAAGGAGCGATCAGTTGTATAAACGCTGTCAATGAGAGTGACAACTGAGAATTGGTTTAAAAAATCAGAGCTTGATTACAGTGGATTCAAAAGAGGAAGAGAGGAAGAATTTGGGACAGTGAATATATCACTTTTTTTTTTTTTTTGAGGAAATTTGCTGTAAAGGACAGCAGAAAAATAGGTAGGTAGTTGCAGGATGAAGTGGAGTCAGAAGAGTTTTTTTTTGGTTTGCTTTTGTTTTTGTTTTGTTTTGAATAAACTTCATTGCAAAGATAGTATAAAGATTTCTCATACACCCCACAATGTGTTTCCCCTGTTGTCAGCATCTGATGTTATTATGGTGCGTTTGTTGCGATTAATGAACCAATATCAATATATAGCTATTAACTGGAGTCTTTATTTAGATTTCCTTATTCTTTACCCCCCTACCTCCCGCCAAATATCCTTTCTCTTTTCCAAGATCATCCAGGATACCACACACTTTTAGTTGTCCTGTCTTCTCAGTGTCCTCCAAATCATAACTTACAGAACACAGCTGGGGGTGGGACAGCACCTTGTAATTAAATATTTTGGCGCCAAAATGTATAAATCTTCAAACCAGGTTAGGTCAGATCGGTCTTTTCCAGGTTTTGCCTCTAAATAAGTTATGAAAGAAATTGGTTTTCAGAGTTTTGTTGTTTTTAGAATTGAGGAGGTGGGAGTTTAGACTTCTCTATTTGTCAAGAAACAACAAATGTTGGAGAGGTTGTGGAGAAAGGGGAACCCTCTTACACTGTTGGTGGGAATGCAAGTTGGTACAGCCACTTTGGAAAACAGTGTGGAGGTTCCTCAAAAAGTTAAAAATAGAGCTACCCTGTGACTCAGCAATTGCACTACTGGGTATTTACCCCAAAGATACAGATGTAGTGAAAAGAAGGGCTATATGTACCCCAATGTTCATAGGAGCAATGTCCACAATAGCCAAATTGTGGAAGGAGCCGAGATGCCCTTCAACAGATGAATGGATAAAGAAGATGTGGTCCATATATACAATGGAATATCACACAGCCATCAGAAAGGGTGAATACCCACCATTTGCATCGACATGGATGGAACTGGAGGAGATTATGCTAAGTGAAATAAGTCAAGCAGAGAAAGACAATTATCATATGGTTTCACTTATTTGTGGAACATAAGGAAGAGCATGGAGGACATTAGGAGAAGGAAGGGAAAAATGAAGGGGGGAATCAGAGGCAGAGATGAACCATGAGAGACTATGGACTACAGGAAACAAACTGAGGGTTTTAGGGGAGGTTGGGGGGATGGGTTAGCCTGGTAATGGGTATTAAGGAGGGCATGTATTGCATGGAGCACTGGGTGTTATACGCAAACAATAATCATGGAACACTACATCAAAAACTAATGATGTACTGTATGGTGACTAACATAACATAATAAAAAATTTATTAAAAAATGACTTCTCTATTTGTGATTTTTGCACTTATATTCATTTTTGGGATTAGTCGATGAGTTTCTCTTCTTATGTTGCCCTTGTTTAGTTTGGGTGTCAAGGGTAAATCTGATTCATAAAATGAATTGGGTAACTCTCCCTCTCTCCACTCTTTGAAACAGAGTGCTAGGGATTTGGTCAAACTGCCCCACTTGATGACTGTCTTGGGGGAGCAGCACTAAGGGCATAGAAGATAATCTGAGGATGGGTTAAACTGATGATTTGGATTAAAAAGCCTCTAGTTTTGAGTGAAGCCCAGGACAAGATAAGTTTCTGAAGCAGGTCCAGACTGCCATGCAAGATGCTTTGCCATTTGAACCGTATGGGTCGGCAGATCTGATGGTGCTTGAAGTGTCAGCAGCAGAGAGAGATGTTGTTTGGAGCCTTTGACAGGCCACGAAAGGTGAATCACAACACAGACCCTGAGGATTTTGGAGTAAAGCTTTGCTATCCTCTGAGGATAACTACTCTCCTTTTGAGAAACAGCTTTTCGCTTGCCATTGGGCTCTTGTAGAGACTGAACACTTGACCATGAACCACCCAATGACCATATGACCTAAATTCCCACTGTGAACTTGATCTTGTCTGACTTACCAGGTCAAACGTTGGCATGCACAGCAACACTACATCATTAAATAGAAGTGAAATGTGTGAAACTGGACTCCAGGAATTCCTGAAGGTACAAGTAATTTGCACGAGGAAGTGGCCCAAATGCCTGTGGTCTCATTGCAGGCCGGGTGCAGGGAGCTCTGTGATTAATTGATGAGGAAGAGAAAACTCAGGCCCAGTTTACAGATGGGTCTGCATGATACACAGGCACCACCTGAACGTGGACAGCTATACTGCTCGAGCTCCTTTCTGGGACATCCCTGAAGGCCTGTGGTGGAAAGAAGTCCTCCTAGGGGGCAGATCATCAAGCAGGGTACTTGGTGGTTCATTTCATCTGGAAGGAAAAATGGCCAGAGGTAAGAGTCTATATTAACTAATGGATTGTAGCCAGTGAGTTGGCCAGATGGCCAGGGACTTGGAAGAAAACTGGTGAGAGCTGGTGTGAGGATAGTCCTCTTTCAGCTGACAGAGAACGTGATGGTGTTTGTGTCCCGTGTGAACGCTCACCAAAGGGTGCCCTCAGCAGAAGAGGATTTTAACAATCAAGTGGATAGAACGATCTGTTCTGTGGATACCAGTCAGCCTCTTTCCCCAACTACCACTATCACTGCTCAGTAGGTTCATGAACGAAGTGGCCATGGTAGCAAGGATGGAGGCTAGGCATGGGCTTAGCGACTTGGACTTTGACTCACCACGGCTGACCTGGCTGCAAGTCAGGCTTGATGTATTTTCTTCCTTCCTTTCTTTCTAGAGAGTCGGTGGTTAAACTTTTAACATCATACCACTTGTTACTGCCTAGACTGTCAGGTCGTGGCTATAGGACATTGTTCATTTTACTAAGTCTCCATGACTCACTTTCCTCATCTGCAAAATGATGACGATAACACCATCTATTTCATAGGGATATTTTGAATATGAAATAAGTTACTGTAAGTAAAGCATTGAGAAGAGTACCAAGCACACAGGAAGCAATACCTCATAAGGTTTGGCTATTACTACTATCGTTACCATCATCAGTATCACTGTGCTTGCTGTTATTATTTTTACTATACCTGTAGCTTGTCGGCATGGCCTTCCATTGGCTCACATGACATTCATAGCCTTGGGGGATACAAACACCCAGGAGTCAAGATGCTGAGGGGATGCCTGGTTGGGTCCCTGCGAGTGACTTTTTATTGCTGGTCAGATGGACAGCTCGTTCTTCAATTTCTCAGAGAACAGAGCAGGGGAGGAAGCTTGGGGATGATGGAATGGGCCCATGGCTGAGAGTCAGGATGTCTGGGTTCTAGTCTCCTCCACTAAGTCATACAGGCCAATGACTTTCCTTCTCTGGGCTTAATTTTCCTGGCTATAGAAGAGGAGTGGGGAGCTGGGCCTGCTGACCTTGAAGGCCCCTTTTGACTCAGCAGCAAAGTGACTAAAACCACTATCAATGCCTCCCTGAGGACCTGGCCTATGACAAGTGCTCAGCAAGTGTCTGTCACCATCTTTGTCATCATCTGTAAAATGGGGACCATAACACTTCCCTCACAGGAGTTCTGAGAGGACCTGCTGAAAAAAAAAAAAACAACACGTAAAAGTGCTCTGTAAACTGTAAAGTGCTAGGATCCTGTCCCAAAGCACCAGTAAGATAATCCTGATCATTAGAATCATCACCACCTCCTGCTATCCCTTCAGCTCCTTCCCCAGACACAAACCCAGAAAACTTTCTGGGGCACCTGTCTTAGCAAATGAGGGCCAATTCCCACAGGGTCCCTCCCAGCAGCATTCTCCGCCTGGGGCCAATTAGACAGCCCAGGTAGTTAGCACTGTGCGCCCCGGCCCTCCCCTTCTCAAGAGCACACCCTCTGCTCCTTGAGGCCTTTGGGCCCCTGGGTCCAGAATCAAGCACCTGGAGTGCAGTCTTCTCTCTCATGCCAACCCCTGGCTGGCCTCAGCCACCCTGGTGACTGCAACCAGCTCTGGGGGCAGCAGGCAGGATTTCAGTTGGAGGTCAGGTGTGGCCATCAGTCTAGACTGGAGGCCCGAGGCATGTGATGTTGTGGACACAGCCCCAGTCCGGGAGGCAGGCACCAGGATTCCGGTGCTGGCTGCTCCATTGTTTAGCTGTGTGGTTTTGGCCAAATCCCTCGGCTCTTCCTGGCCACATTTCATTTTCTGGGAAACAGAGGGTAGGATCATGCTTGGCAGACTTTAAGTAATTCTGCCATTTGAAAACTCAGGGTGGCCTGAGTTTTGTCCTGTTTATGATTCTAGATTGCTTCTGATCTGGGGCAAGTCACTGTACCTGCCTGGGCCTCAGTTTTTCTCATCCATCCAGTGGGGAGATAGGCATCTGCATGGACGCCTCTTCACAGCTGAAGTGAGGGTACAAGACAAGTATGAGGAGAGTTAGGGCCTTGGCTCAGAGCAAGGGGTGCTTATCATTTGCATCATGGTTCTGAGAAAGAGAATTGAACGAGGCACATTTTCATCATCCTGAGTTCTGGGCCCAAACTCCCTCCTCCTCTGAATCTCTGACCTCACTGGGCTGGGCTGGAGGAAGTGGGGGATGTGGTTGGGGTACAGGGGAAGACTCCCACAGGGCAGTCCCCTGAGAGTGTAGCTGAGGCTGAGGAAGAGCTGAGGGTTGGAGAGAGGCTTGGGATCACGCAAGAGGGAATGTGTCCCCTCCCTCCCAGGTGTGACTCGAGGGGAGATCAGGAAGTAGACACAGGGATGAGATTGACCTTTACTAAGTGCTTCTTCTATGCTAAGCCCTGGGCTCCAACACACACACACGCACATGCACATGCACGCGGGCCATCTCTCAATTTGCATTGTGACACGGTGTGAGAAGGAAGTCTTCCTTGTTCTAGAGAAGTGGAAACTGCACTTGCCTCAGACCACAGTCATCTGAGGCAGCAGTGGACTCTGTCCCTGGGCTCCTCTGCTTCCCAGCCATGTGACCTTTGGTAAGTTCCTTACTGTTTCCTTATCAGTCACATCCCTCTCTCTGGAGGCTGAAGTGGTGCCCATGC